GGGGGGGGCACGTCGTCCAACTTTAACGATCACGTCATCGTGACGCCCCGAGGCGAGAAGGAAGTCACCAACGTACGTGCCAAAGTCAACGTGACAATAGTCCATGGAGTCTCTGAAGGCTGGCACTAAGGGGCATTGAGTGAACCTTAGTAAGGCTTCGTGAGCCAAGTTCTTTGGACCATTGTGTGCGGAATGGGCCTAGACCACGCCCTTCCAACGAAGACCAACAACAGTTGCGTGAAAGGCCGAACGGATGATCGGTCGCACCAAGACACGATGAACGACGCAACGAAGGAGCAGGGCTGGCGTGAATGCATGGATCATTTACTTTCAGCTCAGTTGCACATCATCCAGTGCATCACGTGCGTGGCTGTTCGAGGATTGAGAGTTGCCGAGGGGCCGATCGTTCGCTTTCTCTTGAGGGTGACCGCACTCCATGTGTCTGCCGTTAAATTACAGGCGTCACCACGAGTTAATTTACTGAACGTAGCCTGGAATTGCACCAATCACGTGCAAGTGTTTATCCGGCGTTTTCCTGTTTAATATGATATTCATTCTGACAAGTCTTCCCCTGACGGCCTCGCCACCACCGTTGAATCGTTACCGTCTCAAGTGAGAATGTCGTCGGGGTTTGGCTTCAAGGGCACGGCGAACCGATGCTATGGCTTCTGGAAGGACGTGGAGAAGTGCAACGTACGATCGTCATGCTCTCGACGAATGCATTTGGTGGCTCACAGAGAGCGTAGGTTGAAGCGGCACTGCCAGGACAATGCGCGGCGCAGGTCGAAGACTACCTCGAATGCTTGCACCACAAGAAGGAGGTGAGAATCGATCGATCGTATGCGTGACGTCCGTTCATATTGGTCACGTTTTGTGTGTGTGTCGTTCTAGTTAGCGCGCATGAACGCTATGATCGTCCACAAGGAGCAGGAAAGCCAAGGTAAAGGACACGGCCACGGAGGCCATTGATCTAGGCTTTTCCGTGTAATGCGAAATTCAAATGACTCCCCGCTGTGGACATTCCCATCTTGTTGAATGCGCGCGACAGATTAGGCAACACGACTTGAGTTCATTCATAACCTATCCCAACAAGAGCTCGAGCCCGATGGCGACAATATTGATCGGGATCAACAGGACTACCCCATCACGAACATGAGGGGCTTCAAGCATACTGGGCTGCATGCGTTTACACGTACCTCTTGTGTACTGCACGGCCGTGAGAAGACCGGCAACTTGGTTCTTGATGCTCGGTGGGCCGTCCGAATTGTCAACTTGATGTAATCCAACTAGGACAACGCTTGATGATGAGGAAAGGGGGAAGAAAAGCGCGTATACTTCGTCGAAGGAATCGTTTCTCGTTCAGGATCGCGAACGCGTTGGTCGTGAGCAAGCTCGTCATGATGAACGTCCAGATGAATCCCATTCGTCTCCGATGCAGCGCCGCCGCTGTTTACAGTGTTTTGAGAAATGTTTGATAAAAAATGCCATTAACAGCTTAGTCAGTTCAAGTGATTATGCACAATTAAAATATCTCTTCGATCGAAATTACTCAGGAAGAATGGGAGTCGCGCACGTGGCAAGTCATGAACCAAGAGCCTCGAGCATGAGGAGGCTGTGGCAGTGGAAACTGTGCACTTGACTCAACTCATCAAATAACGTTGGACGTTGGACTTGGTGATGTGATTTGGCCAGACTGAGCGCTACATAGAGTTCTACTTCGGTCGTGAGCTATGGCCAAGATTGCAATGGTTGGAGTTATTGAAAAACGCTGCTACGCATGTCTCGATGCCACGTTTCCTTTGAATCCATGCTCCACATCGTCCAGAATTATGCCAAGCCACACTATTCCCACGCAAATTGTATCTCAATCTGCCGCGTTGACGCACATCGAGTCGTCGCTCCATATTTATATTCCCTCGCATCGCCTTCGACAACCGTCCGCCACTATTCGCCCCAGTAGCTCAAATCTACTACGGCTTCGGTACACGAAGGTGAACAACTCGTTCCTGCTACAACGCTCGCCTCGAAGCATTTTCCAAAACCACCGATAAGCGCCCTGACAGCGCGTACGCCAGGCAAGTGCACGTGGCTGACCTCTTCGATGCGATCCGCAACAGCGCCGAAGCCAAGGGTCCTAGGAATCGATGCATTTACTGGAACAAAAGTAGCAGGCCCGCTAGACAAGCCAACGATTTGCTGGCGCATTCCTCTATCCACTTCTTTTGCCGCTAGTCCTGCAGCAGCACGAGTGCTTCTTTCCCGACTCGTCTGAGGTTCCTGCGCTGGTGGATATCCACGCGACCAGAACTTCCCGAAGTCGCGGTGTCCCGGATGGTCCTCGAGATGCTGCCAGGTTCATTCCGGGTGACGACCAAGGGTGCATTACAATCCTACGACGCCTTTACCAGATTTCGATGAGATAAAATTAATTGGATCCGGATACACAAATCTAACGGTTTGCCATTATGTCTTCATCGACCGAGTGATCGACCCCCAACTCTCGGACTGGCCCGATCACATGGGCGACGTGTGCGTTGAGGGCTGCTTGCATTGCAACACTGTCGTAGCATTAGATGGGTCTTTATGCTTGTGGTACTGTTTAAGTTCATATAGTTGAAAGTCTTTGGTAGCTTCTTGTCGCCATACGATCGACATTGACGTCCCCGAGGCAAGTGAAAGTGCCCATGTCTCGCCTACTACGTGGCAGCGCACAATTCGCGCCAAACCCACGCAAAAGACTGTCCTAAACAGTTCTCCCTCACGGCTTGCTACCTGGTCATAAGAAATTACACAAATTGCAAAAGATTATTTTTTAGCCTCTAACGCGGTTTTGACCTGGGATTGTGCTAACAACGATTCAAAACTGCTCGAGATATACAGGCATTGTACCTCCAGCGTTATCTTTGGATCAACTGGATGCTCTTCGCATCAGCTCAGGTCCCTTGGTCGAGAGATTGCTCTACTGATCTCCCAATAGCCTAACATTCTGTCAAAATGCCTGCTTATTGTAACCTACCACCTCTGAAAAATTATGTTTCGATAAGGGAGCAAACCTTGAGGGCGACCTACAGTATCGTATTGTTTTGTGTGGATAATCAAGGTATTCATGATCTATCAATGTTGCCTTGGATGCCGATACCCACAAGCTCATGCCATTCGAGGGAGTCCTACGTGAAATATCCGCTTAACGGATGCATGAACTGTAAATTTGTACCAAGTAAAACTCGACGGTGTGAGCAAATTTACTTCCAGCCAATCAGAGCCGTGAAATATGCCACCTGAAGTTATTTTAGCCAATCCGAGTGGAGATAGCTCGCCAATCGAAAATACGAATCATGGATGCAAACTTGCATTAGGAGGTTGCGCCGTCGACGGCAAACGACATGGGTGAGGAGTGCACGAGGGAAGGCTCGACTTCCCATTGCGCATTTAGAACTTTGATCGATCCGATGCACTTGTTTGGCTCTCTTGCGGCGCTGGTCGCCGTGTCGCTCGTGGCTTCTTTGCCGTCCCCCGCCACCCTTGGCGTAAACGATCGAGTTGTCGATGGGCCCGCGGGGGTCCACGACGCGTCCACCACCAAGATGAGCGCGCCGCCCGCCGGGTTTGGCAAATGGTCCCCTGCCAAACCAGGGGACAGCGTGTCTCCGTGCCCTTTCCTCAATACCATGGCGAACTACGGCATCATCCCGCGCACGGGCATCACGCAAGACAAGCTCAAATCCGCTCTGGAAATTGGCAAGGTTGACTGGGCATTTCAAAAATTGTTGACTGGGTCTACAACGATGAACTTGGGGACCGTCCAAGACGGTGTCCAGGTCGTATCCCTTGCGAACCTCTCCCATCACAACGTGATCGAGCACGACGTGTCACTCAGCCGTCGAGATGCGTACACAGGCGATCAAACTACTCTCGTGCCCGCGTTCATCGAGCAATTTGTTGCTCTGTCCAAGGATGGCAAGTACCTGACCGAGGCGGACTTGGTGCACTTTCGAGAACTCCGCGAAGCCGACAGCCGAGCGACGAACCCCCAAATCAGCTACGGCCAGTACGCCAAGTTGTTTGCTTGGACTGAAACATCGTTTGTCGACATCATGTTCCGTGACGAGACGGGTCGCATGCGTGTCGACTGGATCAAGGAGTTCTTCCTCAAGGAAAAATTTCCGTTCGAGCTCGGGTGGAACTTTCGCCCGGTCTCATTTGCCGAGGTTGCTTGGATATCGGCCCGCCTGCGGTCTGGCTTTGCGCGGCATGCGACGCTCCCAGATGGAACGGATTAAACCAGGATTTTTGATGGCCCTTCCAAGTCACGGAAGCCGCCGCGCACAGATTAGCATATCACATCATGGATTGTTGTGTGTACGCGAGGTCGTTGCTGGACGCCAAGACGGCCGCGATGAGGTTCCAGTTCTGAATAAACCAAATCCATTTGCGCTGCCACTTTGTTGTGCAAACTCCAACTGGAATCAAATGCTCGATACAAGTCGCATGCACGATTTATAAACGACATTGGCACCGCAGTGTGGCAAGTGGTTAGGAGGCGGAATGGCAACTTGGGCTCGCGTGCTGCTGCCCAAACGAATCGTTGATCTTCACTGTACAAGCAGGCCGACCAGCACAACAGGTTATTCTGGAGCCATCGCGATAGAGGAGAGCGGTGGTCATGCGTAAACCGCCGAGGGCCAACCACGCATTCAACCGATGCACAGGCGTGTTGACCCCGAAATCATGACGTAGCTGGCGCTGTTGTCGTGGAACGGGCGCTTTCTCTCCCTACACAAGCGACCAACCTGAAATGTCGCCAGATTGTGAGGGAAGCACCGCTTCCACATGATCAATTTGCATTCGTGGCTTCGTTCCTTCCAGTGTGGCCTCCACAGTCGTCGTCACGGAAACCAACCACTCTATTCCAATCTTGAATTTGCTTGGGTTTTGAAAATTCGAGTTGCTGCCAATATCGTCAAGTATATTATTGCGACCGTCAGAAATGTTATTTTGTTTTGATGAGGTCGCGCGCATACGGTTGGCGGTGTCGCCCTTCAAACAACCCAATCTGCGTCAACGCAGGCATGCACAACGACCACCACAAGTCTTGACTTGCGGTCTCGAACGTCGTGCAGTGCCTACGCCGTGAGATTGACGATGGTTATACAAGGATATTCAGTCTGCGCCATGCTCTGC